AATGAAAATGTTTTCTGCAATTTTTGTATGTATTACCCTTATTCATAATTTCTTTTAAACCTGAACAGAAATAATGACTGATCAGGATGACCCTGAAGAAGGTTCAAGTGATCCAAACACTTTAGAGCTGAAGAAGAATTTGAAACAGGAAACAAAAGAAGGAATCAGAATGCAAGTCGAAATTGGTAATTTATATGTGTAAAATTCTTAATGGAAAGACAATGAAATCTTCTGTCAGTATTTGCTTGTGCTTGAGAGGCATATCGTGTATATGTATTAAAGATCAATCAATAATGTATGATGTCTTTTACTTTATTTTTATTTATTTATTTATTAACTTTTATTATAAATACAAAACTAGATAGACTGGCTGCTGAACATGGTAGTGGTGAAGTCAAGAGACAAACAGATCCCTGTTTGCAGACAAAGAAAAAGAATGGTAAGCGAAAGAGGAAGGAGGAAGCTAGCGCACAAAATCGATCGGGTAATTATTTTGTTTATCTTTATAGTATAGACATTGAAGGAGGAATGATCTGGTGTTTTTTTTATGATTTGCCTAGGTAATATAGAATATAGGACTCTGGTCTCTGTATCTGCAATTCAAAATTATTATTTTCACATCAAGGGATTTGATACAAAAAATTCTACCAAGACTTAGTTTGTAAAATTTGATTATAATAGAATGACTGGCATTAGTGCAAATATAAATGATATGCTCACAGTAATTTAAACTTGTTCTTTTGAAAAGTGGGATGATAATTTCAGAATAAGCTGTAATTCCATTTTCAGGTCAGACAGAAACCCATTTCACTGGAACTAGGTTCGCTCAGATAATAATCATCACTAGAGTAGTGCACATAGATTTCATTCACCACATTATGGTACTGAATGGTAGAACTGTAAACATGGAGTCTGTGTGTGCATCATTTGTCATTGCCTGTTTCAGAATTTTCTGGAGGAGCAAGTGATTGTGATGACTACAGTCTGTTTATGAGTCCTGCTGGAACTTCCTCTTCATGCGAATCGGCTGATGAAGAGGATAGAGTCATCAAAGAGATTAAGACACAAGGTAAGTGGCATAGTACCCTGACATGTTTTAATTTCTCAAGTGTTGATAAAAGTTGTATTGTTAAAGATGTCTTTACAAGTTTGCCATCAGTTCAGACCAGTTATAGTGATTTTTCTCTGCATGATTACAACTCTAATTTATTTATTTATGTTTTCAGAAAGAACCAATATCCTTGTAAGAAAGACTTCATCCTTAAAAGCTGAATCAAATGTTGCTTCTTCAGCATCCTTTGCCTCCACTTTTGTTCCTACATCATGCCCTGAGCAGCAGGACACAAGTACAGTGTTTCGAACAAAAGCATATTCTGATAACAATCTTACTGCTCCTAGTATATTGATTAATTTGCCACAGATCAAGAAAGAGGTAAAAACAAGCCAAATGTCAGCAGAAATTTCTGGTGTTAATGAGCAACCTGAAGGTCCATTTAGAATACAGATAGACAGTCAAATGCAAGAAGGAGCATCTTTAGAAGAAACAGGTGTGGTTAAACTTCAGGATTCATTACCTGTGCTGTCCAAAGTAAAGAAGGAACCAGTGAGTATGACAGACATCATAAATACTGAGAATGATTTGGGTGAGGAGCCTAGAGCTTCAGTCAGCTTCACCACTTCAGAGCAGTCAGAAGCAACCAAGTCAAAGGTATCCAAAGATTCTCAGTCAGAAAGAATCCCCCCAGCATCACTCAATTCACAGCCTTCTAATAGGGAATCACCCATAAACCCATCATTTAGCTCATCTTCTCTGACAGAAGTAACTTACTCAGAACAATCTAATGATATCAAATTGCCTTGTAAAGTTCCTAGTAGGGTATACTCAAAGACCTGTGTCACAAGAGCAAGTACAATAACTGAAGCCAAGCAAGAGAGTAAATCATCTGCCGTAGAATCTGCTTCGAGGCTAAATTGCTCATCATTCAGTGATAAAAGCAACACCGAGGTGAATCAAATGATGATTTTAAGTGAAGAAGATAATCTCATGGAAACAGAGGAACAAGGTATGTTCTAAGATGTGTGTTTAATACTGGTTGAGACTAATTTTCATGCTTAACCATATTATTGTACAAGCCTGATGATGTGTTTATGTGAATCTGCTTTGTGTCATCACAAATGTAAATGTGTAATAATCTATATGGTTGAAATCAAAATGAAAAAGAAGAAAAGTGTCAATAGCATCATTGAATTCTTTTTTGCAGAGACTTCAGGTTGCAGCAAGGATTGCAAGTGTAATGACTGTGACTCCAAACAAAAAATATTACTCAATAGACCAGGCAGTACTGTTCGGAGGACGTGTAAGTTGACAGCTTGGTTTATGTATCAGTTTTATATCAGCAGAGAAAGTTCAGGAATAATGATGAATATAGAAATATGGAAATGCTTAAAATTAAATTATTTATTTATTATAGTAGACATGTGTGAGTATATTATATATAAA